GGCCAGCGGCGGACACAGGGAAAACTTCTAGCAGCTTCTCACAGAAGCCACCCCTGTAGCCCCCACTACCAAGACCTTGCCACAGAAACCCAATACAAGAAGTTTGGTAGACTTCTGGATATGTCAAAACATCAAATGAGTCAAAAGAGCAAAGTTCATCCCCGCTTCATCTCAAAGGAAGTCCAGCCCCTTTCCATACCAGAGTTGCGCAGTGGTACCCAAATAGTAGGCAGTGAACGTGTATTTTCTTTCAGCACTTTGCTGTCTGGTGGAGGTAACTCCCTTGCAAGAGCTGCTTTGGCAACTGCAACACCAGTGGCCATGATTTGCAACCAAATGAGGTACCCATCTGTTCAAAACCAGTTTGAACCAAATGAAAAGGACATGGCTTAAGGACATGGTTTACTGGTGGGATGGCAGTGTTAGGTTAACAGTTGGACTTGATCTTAAAGGTCTTTTCCAACCTAAACGATTCCATGATTCTATGAAAGGAAGAGTTAGGGATACCACTGCTGCTGTGGGATGTCCATTTCTTTGTTCTACTCTTTCCTTGGCCCCTCCATTCAGCTCTAAGAAAGCTCCTCCCTTGCTCAGTTCTAGGGGAAAAGGGGTATTGGTCACTGGTATCGAGGAGCTGTAAGTACAATACACTACAACACTTCAAACATCAAGTCCACCCGGGGTACTTTGTACATCGTATTCTCCCTCCAAGACCACCTTGCTTACAGATAGTCATTCACTTGTCCAACTCAAACAGCATGGAAACAACGATGGTCACAGGCTGCTCGACAAACAGCCTTAGTCTCACTTTAATACCGTACTTTCAAAAGCACGGCTGACGTACTGCTAATGTCAATAACAAGCAGTATGAAGTTTTTCGACCTTCTGTTCTAGCACAGACATTGCCGTTGAGCTGTTGTTTTCTAAAGACATCCCCATGTATAGTTTTCAGGCTGTCCTCATGATAAGGGTTGCAATTCTGTGATTTCAACTCCGCTGGCATACACAAGCTATTTCTGTATTGTTTTCGGATTTACTTTTAAATGGTCTTAATAAGCACACACAAAAATAAAGAAACACAAAGTAGAACTGAGCGTACTGCATGTTTACCTCTATTTGAGTCTTGTACAGTTTACATGAATCTGCCTGTTCAGGGTAAAAGACATCTCACATGAAAGTTGAGGTAAGAAACATGCAGGTTTTGCTATTAATCTTACATTTAATATTCTAGTAGAGCCATTCCAGCATCTATGAACACATAAAAAATTAGTATTGTGTATGATTAGACTTGCTAATCAAGTTGTATCTTTATCCCAATGCACACCTACTAGCAATGATCAGGCTCTTCTTTAAGCTATGCTGTCCTGTCATTGAGAAAACTGGAGAAGCTACTGTCACTTCAGGTAGCATTTACTCCTGGATGAAATAAATCTTCTGTTGCAAAATTGTCTGGGCTGACTAAAACATGTAGTGTGCTGACCTCCAAGCAACCCTTGGGAACCTGCTGCTTCTCGCTCTTCCCTGCCATCTCTGCCAACGCAAGCGCAGAGGGAGTATCTAATCCTGGGATTCTCAGCTTTGTGCATTTTACTCGCAGGTCAC